GGTTGTGTTTGCTTATGATCATAAATGGTCATTGAATTTTATTTATTTATTTTTGCACCTCTTAAGATGGTAACACGATTTTCCTGTGTTGGTTTTTCCAATGTTGCAAATTACCAGTGACTGGTTACTAGGGTCAGCTCTGCCCAAATGCTGGTCAGAGGAAGCAGTTAGGGTGTTGCTGCTTTGTGGTTCGGGGTCTGGAGTTTCCTTGGGGTGGCCTTTTCTTTCTTTAAAACAGTTTTAAGCAGTTTTGGTTGATGTTTGATAACCACACACAGTTAGAGTACACAGTTTAGTGTACTCTAGAACACACCCACGGACTCCTCACTGCCGTCCACATAGTGAGTATCTCAGGGCTGCACACTTGCCTCCTTTCTCCCCCAGGAGACCACTGGTGCTTCCTGGTACTAAAGCCTAATTTGCATTTCCTAGAACTGCAAAAAGTGCAGTGTGAGTGAAATCAGGCATTCTGAGCCTTTGATTATCCATGTCGAACACACCTGCAGCACACTGGAAAAATTAGTGACAATTTTCCATCATAATCTGTGGGTGATTAATTCTCATGCTAGTGGGTAGACATGGAGATGTCTCAGTTATTGGCAGTTATGAGCAATTAGGTCATGAACACTCATGTACAGTTTTTTTTCATATTCCCAGTGTTTTAATTTCAAAGCTCAACGTTTCAATTTATTTTATGTAAACACCTAAAAGTAAAATAATGTGGCAGGTGGTAGGTGTATGTTTAGCTTATGAAGCTCCCAGGCTGTCTTCCCTCAAGGCACTCAAAGTGAATGATGATGAAGGTGAAATATATTAATCTGGGGAATGTAGATAGTGTAATGTCTGGAGGGAAAGCCATAGCTTTGGGGTGTTCATTTGAATAGAAGGCAAGCTTAAGAACCAGAGAAGTCTTAAGAAACTAGAAAGAGCAGAACAGATCAAATTTAAATCATAGGAAGAAAGAAATAATAAACAAATGTTAGCAAAATATGGATTACCAATAAGCCTGGAGGTCAACTGGATAAAATGTTAATAAAACAAAATCTGTTTTATTCAGACTAGTTAAGATAGAGAACAAGTCCACAAACTATCAGCAGCAGTTGAGAGATTAAGAGGGGTTTCATGTGAATTTCACTAATGATTAAAAGTAATACAAGGAATTTACAAATAGTTTTATTACAATAAATTCATTAATGAGGCTTAAATTTACACTTTCAGGAGCACTGATATAATCACAAATACATTATTTGAACATTCCAGTATTTATCAAAGAAATTAAATTTATAATAAACCTTACTACTCTGGCAGTTGCTCAGAAAAACCAAAAAGAGAACTTCCATGTGACTCAGCTGTACCACTCCTGAGTACTCACACAAGGGCCTCCGAGTCAACGTTCCACAGAAATTCTTGCACATCAGTTTTATGCAGCAGTGTTCACAATAGCCAAGCTATGGGTCAGCCTAGGGACAAAGATATGAAACATACACAAAATAGAGTTTTATCCAGCTATAAAGAAGAGCAAAATTCTATTCTTCATAGGGAAATGGTTGTAGCTGGAGACCATCACATTACATGAAATAAGTCAGAGTCAGCCAAACATATTTCCTTTCCCTTGTGGATTCTAGACTGCACATGACAAATTATTCATGAATATATGACATTAAAGCAGAAGTGAGACTGGGGAATGACGATGACTAGCAAGCAGGGGATGGAGAAAATGGAGAGAGTGAGGGTGAATATGGCCAAAGTACGTGTTTTACCTATATGAAAGTATCTTCATTAAACCAGGTACTATGTGCAATGAGTATGTCAATAAGCTATTTAAAATACTTCCCACATGTGTCTCACATGAAAACATCAAACATGGAAATGGAGGGAGGTTACTTGGATAGAAGAGTCTAAATAGGGAGGGGATGAGAGGGTAGAGGAGAGCGAGGTGCGGTAGGGGGAGGAGTATCGGAACTAAGGATGCTGGGATGGAGGGATGGCTCAACTTTTAAAAACAGTTGCTGTTGCTTTTCCAGAGGACCTGAGTTTGGTTCCCAACACTCACGTTTGAGTGGGACACTCTCTATGGATAGATAATGCTTTTCCCAGAAGCCATGCATTAGTAAATGAAAATCCCTGTACCACCAAGGAGGTTCCAGAGACCCCCAAAACACTACAAGTGATTGTCATTACTCTTAGTTGTCCACTAGAACTTGATGATAAGGTCCTATATCTGGAGATACCACTTGCTCATAAAACATAGGCAAATCAAGCTGTAGCAGAGCCAGAAGCTTCCTCCCCAGTGGCTAGCTTCCATATTACCAGAAGGTGCTAGTCAGGCTCCCGGGGGAGAAAAGTCATCAGTAGTTTTACCTAGCTGAGAACCATGTGAACTACAATAATGACCTGCCAGACAAAGTACTCTCTGTGGTAGAATAGTAGCATGATTGTTTTGGGGCTAACCAACCATTTTCTGATTGGATCTGAGGTCTACTCCAGAGACAAGAGTCTGTGGCTAGGGAGACCATAGGCCCTTGGAGGAGCCTACTACTATTATTTTGCTATATGATCACATTGTCTAACTGCCTTCTAAACACTCGTGTGTATGCCCGCAGGTTAGTGCTGCATCCAGTCTTCATCAGAGAAGCTTCTTACTGTAGAAGGTTATGGTTAATTCACAGACCCATAACTATCCAAAGCGCCAAAAATAAGCAATGGTACAGTGTTGGGGGGCAGGAAGAGGACTGCTGGATTACCCTCTCTAGTGCTCTGGGAGTATCACGGAAGAGGGGGTAGAAACAATGAAGGAGCAGGGGGATAAGGAGGCATGCAGCAAAAAGATGTCTTCTGGATAGCACACAACCATTGCATTCGTGAAGTCACTGCAGATGTAGTTATCTACAGACCTGTACAAGATTTAGTCCCTCAACATGTCATCACAGATGGTGGAGAGCCTGTGGGGCCCATTCCTCCACAGGGGACTATTGACAATTAATGATTGTTGGTGTGTATGCGTGCGTGCGTGCATGTGTGTGTGATTTCCTTCAATGTGGGCACTGATAGTTTGCCCTTGCTCCAGTAGATAACCTCCCACTCATGAAACTCTAACTAAACTCTGTGGTCACACACAAAAAGAAGACGGGAAAGTGTAAGGGAGATTTGCTGAGAAGGGCTTCGGAGGGAGAGGGAAGGGAAGAGAGGGGATATAGGAGTGTGTGTGTGTGTGTGTGTGTGTGTGTGTGTGTGTGTGTGTGTGTGTGAAAATGACTAGAATTCATTATATAAATGTATAAAACTGTCAAACAATAAAAATTAAAAAAAACTTTGCACAAAGAAAAATTCAAGTTCAAAGAATTTTTACTAGTGAAATGTATCAAACATCCAAGGACACATGATGTGAAATGAGAGAGAGAGAGAGAGAGAGAGAGAGAGAGAGAGAGAGAGAGAGAGAGAGAGAGAGAGAGGTGTTTTGGATCTTTCATGATCAGCACAATCCTGATATCAAAATCTGTCAAGAAAATAGATTTACAGAACAATATCCCCTATGAACAGAGAATTTCTTTGTTTTTATTTAAAATTTTTTCATTCATTTTACATACCAACCACAGACCCCCCTCTCACCCCTCCTCCCGCTCCCCCCTCGCCTTACCTCCCCAACCCATCCCCTTCCCCAAATGAGTAAGTCTTCCCATGGGGGGGACAGCAAAGCCTGGTACATTCAGTTGAGACAGGACTAAGCCCCTCCCCCTGAACAGAGAATTTCTAACAAAATCTTAGCAACCTATAAAAGGATAACATATTGTAAGTATCATTTCTCCCAGGAATGAGATAAGTTTAATATTAAAACATCATTTCAGCTGATAAAAACACTTAGCCTGATGTCCTGCTGGGCTAATTACCTGGAGCCTATGGTATAAGGAGAAAACAGATTCCTAAAGGTTGTCCTCTGACCTCTAGGCACTATATGATTGTGTGTGTGTGTGTGTGTGTGTGTGTGTGTGTGTGTGTGTGTGTGTGTGTGTTTTATGTAATATTTTCAAAAATTAGATAAAATAAAAAAACCTGTCAACAGAATTCATCATTACTTGATGGATACGTGTTTCTGTGACTGATGTAGAAGGTGGATGATGGGAAGGTGCTTCAGGATCATCGTCACAGCCTGGGTTCCACAGGCACTGACAGTTTTCAAAACTATTCTGCCTGGACTCTGCATTCCTCATCCCTAGCCTCGATGCTATAAAGTGCTACAAAGCGTAGCTCGGCCCACTCAGAGACATCAGCTTGTGTTTAGGGAAGTCCCGTAGAGAGTTCAGCTGTAGGGACCTGCTGGCTGAGTTCTGGGGACCCGGACAAGCCCTGTCCCAGTTCTGAATTCAATGGGCAATGAGGCAGGGGAGGCAAACAGGATTCAACTGAGATATTGTATGATGAAATACACATATCCATTTACAAAGTATAGTAATTATTTTGTATTTAGTTTTTCAGTATTGAGGCTTAAACCTAGGGCCTCATATATGGAAGAAACATGCTGTACTACTGAGCCCCAGCCCCAGCAATCCAGTACTTAATTATGCAGAATGTCTACGGTTTTTACAGACAGAGAAAGGACCTAGATGAGCCACAGAAGAATGATGAAAAAGAACAAAATGCCAAAATGTAGATTTGTTTTTGTTTTTTAAGACATAAGGGTTTATCTGTGTATCCCAGGCTGTCCTGGAACTCACTCTGTAAACCGCACTGGCCTCAAACTCACAGAGATCCATCTACTTCTGCCTCCCAAGTGCTGGGATTAAGGCTTGCACCATCACTGCCCAGCTAAGATGTAGACTATTTTATCTTAATACTTAGAGTTGCAATAAGAATAGTAGTGAGGCATGGGTATAAAGATAGAAAAGCAGATGAATAGAACACATGGGGACTCCAGAAATACTCCTACACACTCAGCTGATGGAGCCAAAGGGCAAAAATATCCTAACCAGGCATGGGAAAGACAGCAGTGTTAATATCCACTTGGGAGGATCAAAAGCCCCACTCTCTACCTTACTCCATCTGCAGAATGAGTTTGAGATGGAGCTGGGACCTCAACAGACAAGTAGAAGCTACAGAGCATCCTGAAAAAACATAAGCAAAACCCTGGAGACATTTTTACAACCAGAGCAGGGATGTTCTGAAAGAAACAAGGAAGCAAGAACAGCGTGAACCCTGCGGTGTGTTCAGACGCATTCCTCCGATTCTGCATTGCCGGAGTTACACATTTCCAAGCAGGAACACTTCTTATATTCTTGTTCTTCCTGCCTCCCTGTATCTCACTGCTCTCAGAGTGATTGATTTCAAGGCTTAAGATTGGTTTGAGGCCATGGGCCTGCAGGACTCTGATGTGGTGAGTGTGTGAATGTTGCCTAGTCAAGGGCAGATGTGTTTGTGGCTGCCAGATGCAGTGACCACAATGTCTTTTTGCAATGTTGTTCGTCTGTTAGTCTTGTTGTTCAAATGTTTCGATCTCTTCAGTGATTTTTTTCTGTGATTGCGGTATAACTTGCTGACAGATATGTTAAAATCTACCATCTACATTTCCGTCAGTTTTGAGCACCCACAAAAATTTTTAGGTCATTTCCTTGTGCACTTGCAAAATTAAAATTCTTGGAGAATTAGACATTTTTATGATGATAGAATGATTTATTTTGGTCTCCAGTAAAGCTTTTTAAATGATTTTTGCAAGATATTAATATCTGTACAGAGTAACAGTCACACAAGTTGTATGAGTCAGAGCATCTACTAGATCAATTTCACCGTTACCCCTGGCAGGCTGGCTGGCATCTCCGCCTGCTCTGTGTTAATCCTGCTCTGCGGTGACAGTCCACTCACCACCCATTCCTGATGGATGATCTATTTTCTGCGTTTTAAAATCACACACTTCAATTCTCTAGGTATTTTAAACCCATGATACACAAGATAATTTTCTTGTCATTTTTCACTATGATTTACTTACGTATAATCTACAGAAAAAAGGGAAAGCTGAATATAAAAGGTAACTGCCTTAAACAGGACATCTTTGAGTCATGAGAGCAGGTGCCTACAGCAAGCTTGGAAGCAGTGGTCTTGGTCTTCCTGTGGCCTTGGTGTTCCTGCTCCCATATCTGCTCCTAAGGCCTGGAACACTCTGTTCCTGGGCTACCATCCTGGGCCTCTGTGTCTGTGCCTTATCTTTATTTACAGAAATGTGTTCTTTATAGAGCTGAAGTTTTTAATTTTGTTAATTTTTTTGAGGGGTAACTGTATTGACTTTTTTTACTTGAAGAAACAATTTTGTGAATAAAACTGCAATGAATGTGGTTGAACAAGTGTCCTTGTGGTAGGAAGGAGCATCCTTTGGGTATATACCCAAGGATGGTAGAGCTGGGTCTTGAGGTAGATTGATACCGAATTTTCTGAGGAACTGACATATTGATTTCTATAGTTGCTGTACAAGATTGCACTCCTATCAGCAATGGAGGAGTGTTCCCCTTACTCCACATCATGGCTAGCATGAGCTGTCACTTGTATTTTTGATCTTAGCCATTCTGACAGATGTAAGATGGAATCTCAAAATAGTTTTGATTTGCATTTCCCTGGTGGCTAAGGATGTTGAACATTTCTTTTAGTGCTTCTCAGCCATTTGAGTTTCCTCTATTGGGAAACCTCTGTTTAGATCTGTACTCCATTTTTAATTGGCTTATTTGGTTTTTTGATAGTTTCTTGAGTTCTTTATACATTTTGGATGGGGGGAGGGAAGGTAGGGAGAAACTGGGAGGAGTAGAGGGAGGGGAAACTATAATCAGGACATATTGTATGAGAAAAAAATCTATTTTCAGAAAAAGGAAAAACATAAAATGCACCAACATTATTAATCAACAGCAAAAAGAAACAATTTTGTAAAGTTTGCATTACTGAGGAAACAACACACATATTAGAAAAAAATTCCTTTCAAATGCTTCTCTAAATAGAATTATTGCATGCCCATGTAACGTGATGGTGCTAAACATATTGCTACCAACAAGCAAATTAAATCGTTCAATATTTTTCTGACTTGTTCTAGACACTGAATTTATATTAAATCATTTCAGTTTCCAAACACCATCATAGCTCCAAAAATGTCTCAATTACCTGCTTATGCTTTGAAGGACTCAGCTATTAACTTTTTAAACCTAGTGTAGCTTTAAATTAAATCATATGTTCCTTGCATGAACTTACTGTAGTTTTTTTTCTTAAAGTTTTCTTATATTAATGAATATCCATTACAAAAGTGATAGATTTCTTTATGATAGCTTTGTGCAAGTGTATAATCTACTTTGGTCTTGTTTCCACTCCATCGCTCTCTCATGTTCCCCCCCCCCCCTCAACCCAGTGATCCCCTTCTTCCGAGTGATTCCGTTCTACTTTCATGTGACAGATATATATTTTCATGTATATGCATATTCAAATATGTGTGTGCACCTATATGTGTGTGTGCACATAGATGTGTGTGTGCAAGCATGTGGAGGCTCAAGGTCAAGGCGAGGCATTTTCTTGATCCAGCTCCACTCTATGCCTTGAGGTGAGGCTTCTCAGTTGGACCCAGATATGGTCTCTCTAGCCAGACTGCCTCAGGACCCTTCATCTCCATCATCTGAGGGCTGGGGTTACTCAGGGTTACAGGTAGGCCCTACGTCCACCCGACATTTATGTGGATTCCGGAGATCTGAACTCTGACCTTCATGCTTGTGCAGCGGGCACTTTATCCACTGAACCACGCTCCCAGCTCCTTAAACACGGATATTTTAAAATGTAGATGCCGCACATGAAAGAAGACATGATACTTGTCTTCCCACGGTGGGCTGGTTTTGCTCACATGTTGTCTCAATTTCCATCCATATTTCTGAAGATGACATGGCTTTGTTCTTCTTTACGGAATAATACTCAACTGTCTTTGTATACATCTCATTTATGCATGCATCATTGACAGCAGTCTAGACTGGTTCCTTACCTTGGTTATTATGAACAGTACAGCAATAAGCAAGGGTGTGCAAGTCTGTCTGTGATATGTGGCTCACATTCATTCAGATGTACTCACAGGTGTGATCGCGCTAGGTCAGATGGCAGTTCTGTTTTTCAGTTTTCTGAGAAACCTCCATGCTGATTTCGACAGAGGCCGCACTAGTTTATACTCCTGCCAGCAGCACATACTAATCCTTGCCCGCATTGTTGCTTTTTGCTGACAGGCATTCTGACTGGGAAGAGACTGGAATCTCAGCATAGTTTTGATGTGTATTTCTCCAAAGGCTTAGGATGCTGAACTGTTTTCCCCACATAAACAAAGCATGACAAGCAGAACTCAAAGCCTTCTCTTCTAGTGTGCTTTCTTTCCTGTGAAGGGAAAACTGGCTCCTCCCCTTGCTCATCACTGCTAGGGCAAGTTAGCCAGGGCAACGCTGGAGAGCTCCCCCTGGTGGTGAAGGCAGGAGAGAACTGGTGGGCTGACCAACCTTGCAACTACCCAGGCCCAGAATTAGGTTTATGTGTTGGCCCACCAAAACACTCACCCCATCTGTGATCTGCTGGAGCATGGGGTGGGATGGAGGTGCGGTCCTGTGGACCCAGGGCTGCACACACACAGGGTAGCAACAGGATGTCCAGGAATACTCCTCAATGGTGTAGTAGAGACCAGGGACCTCAGACCAGATCAATGATTCTTTGCGATGAACATCTGCATGTAAGCAGGGAGGAGGGGCTTGGACCTGCCTCAACTGAGTAGACCAGGCTCTGTTGACTCCCCGTGGGAGACCTTGCCTTGGAGGAGGTGGGAATGACGGTTGGGTTGGGGAGGAGGGATGTGGAGTGGGAGGAGGGAGGACAGGGGAATCTGTGGTTGGTATGTAAAATGAATAGAAAATCTCTTTTTTTTTTTTTTTTTTTTTTTTTTTTGGTTTTTCGAGACAGGGTTTCTCTGTGTAGCTTTGCGCCTTTCCTGGAACTCACTTGGTAGCCCAGGCTGGCCTCGAACTCACAGAGATCCGCCTGGCTCTGCCTCCCAAGTGCTGGGATTAAAGGCATGCGCCACCACCGCCTGGCGAAAATCTCTTAATAAAAAAATAAAGATAAAAATAGAAGAACAAAAAAATGTATGGATAAAGGGGTTTACTGTGTGACTCACTGTGTCACACTGCAGCTTCCGTAACAAGATTTTACCTTTTTTACTTTCCCCCCACTTTTCTCTTAAATTTTATTTTTTGGGGCAAGGGAGATGGGTGGGATCAGAAGGCATGATGTGAAAGACACAGATAATAAACAAAAAGAAAATCAGAGAGAGAGAGAGAGAGAGAGAGAGAGAGAGAGAGAGAGAGAGAGAGAGAGAGCAAGCTTCCTCCAGCATGGGCAGGGCTGCTGGGCTTTTCCTCTGAGTTTCTTCACCCAGCATCTCTCACCCAGCAGGGCACTTTTTATCAGATGCAGGCTTTGAGTTTGCTGATGGCTGTCAGATGAGAGCTTCCCTATCATTCAGTTCCTTTACAACAACAGTTCTCAACCTGTAGGTCACGACCCTTTCACAGGGGTCACATATCAGATATTTATATTACAATTCATAGCAGTAGCAAAATTACAGTTATGAAGTAGCAATGAAAATAATTTTATGGTTGGGGGTCACCACAACATGAGGAACTGTGTTAAAGGGTCACAGAACTAGGAAGGTTGAGAACCACTGCTTTACGGGCAACATAGCCTTTTTGTGTAGCTATCTTAATGAAGTTTTCCCAGAGTCCCATTGTAATGTAAAATTACAGTATATCTTGGTGTTTTTGGATTTATTCCATTTAGGATTTGCTCTTGAATCTGTAGGCTTGCGCCTTTCACCACATTTGGGGAGTTTTCAGCCGTTATCTCTGAAACGGGTTTTTCAGACCTGTGATCTATCCTTTCCTTTCTGAACAAACATTCAAAGATGAACAGTAGGTCTCTTGCTCCATTTTCTCTCTGTTGTTTAAACTGAGCAAATTTTGGTGATCTTCAGCTTCACTGATGCCATCCTGTTGATCCACTTTGATTTTGGTTACTTTGTTTTTATTTCTATAATATCTATCTGTTGTCTTAAGTAATAGCTTTACTATACTTTATATATAACTCACATATAGCAAATATTCTCTTCACAATGGACAATGCAGTAGACTTCAGTGTGTTCAGAATTATGCCACCATCACCAGCATTAATTTTAGCACATTGTCACCTCCTCAGAATGGAACCTTGCACCTTTCGTGGTCATTTTCCACTTTATCCTCTTGTGGCCCATTGACAACCACCAGTCTGCTTGCTGGGTGGGTGGATTTGCCCATCTGGATGTTTCAGATAAAGGAATCACACACGGTATGTGGCCATTTGTGTCTCTCAAGATCCATCCACACTGCTTTGTGTTGTGTCTTAGCATTTATTGAGGATGGTATTTCATGCATGGACATGCACTCCTTGTCATCTGCTCCCTGACACACACTTGGCTTGTATCGGCTTTTTTTTTGTGAACAACTACTGTGAACATTTATTTGTGGATTGTCTGATGGGCACATCTCCTGGACAAACACACAGGAGTAGAATTCCTGGGCACCTTTTTGTTTAACTTTTTGAAGAACTGATTCATAGGATGAGTGGTTCTGAGAAACCATTACAGTAGTTGCATTAATTTCCACACCAATAAAGGATGATCATCCAGATTTTACCATGTCCTCACATTCATCCCAAGGTTGTAATTATTTTGCTGAAATTTTTTAAAATAAAATTATTCTTTTATTTATCCTGGTCAAGATTTCCCCTCCCTCCTCTCCTCCCAGTCTCTCCCCACAGCTCCCCACTGCTCCCCCACTCCTCCACCATTTCTATTCAGAAAAGGGCAGGCCTCCCATGGGTATCAACAAAACATGACATATCAAGTTGCAGTAAGACTAAGGATCTACTCTAGTATTAAGGCTGAGTAAGGCAACCCAGTATGAGGAATAGGGTTCCAAAAGCCAGTAAAAGAGTCAGAGACAACCCCTGCTCTTACTGTTAGGAGTCCCACAAAAAGACCAAGCTACACAACTATAACATATATGCAGAGTGCCTAGGTCAGTCCCATGCAGGCTCCCTGGTTGTCGGTTCAGTCTCTGTGAGTCCCTATGAGCCCAGGTTAGTTGGTTCTGTAAGTTTTCTTTTGGTGCTCTTGACCTTCTGGTTCCTACAATCCTTTCTCCTCCTCTTCTATGAACTGGCCATCTCCTGTGACCAGATTGGTGCCTAGCCCAGTTGTCATCAGAGAGACTTCACCCACCAACTGATGGAGACAGATGCAGACCCACAGCCAAGCATCAGGAGGAGTTTGGAGATTTTTCTATTTGTTTTTATTTGTTTTGAGAGAGTTGGCAATTATAGAAACATTTTCAAAGTGTCTGTTTTCAGATCCTTGCAGATAGCCCTAAGATTTATCATTCAGTCATGAGTTTCCTGGTTTTTCACAGGATGGGTGGTTCTCTGCAGATCTCAGCTATTTTGGTTTTGTGTTATGAGACTCTTGGATCCCCTACATCCAAGCAGGTAAGCAGGTGAGCACCTGTCGGGCTTGGTGTGAGGTGTTGCCCTTCGTGTGGACTTTATTTATCAATGACAGCTTTCTTTCCAGAGCTCTGACAGAGTTATCTGGTCTGTCTGAGTTTTCTGTTTCAGTTGGGACTCCCTGAGTCCCCAAGGATGCCACCTGCATGACAGAGATGCTTCCCTTGGGTGCATTTTCTATGCTGGTGATGGGATCTGGTGGGGACACAGACATAGGCCTTCATTCCACTATGCTGAAGTCACATGAGCCACCTGTCTGGTGGTAGGGTCCGGGTGAGGCTCTCCCTCAGCAGTTATTGGTTTGGGAGGAAACTACCCCAGTCCCTTGCTCATATCTGGTGGTACTCAGGGCCGTCAAGGTCATTGGTTGCTTTGCTACAGACTGAGATGCAGAACTGCTGATGTGCTGTGAAGAGGCCCTTGCTGTACCCATTGGACGTGGGCTGGCAGTTCTCTTACATCTGTACAATTAACTCTGACACAAGATCTCTTTTATTGTCACAGCTGAAGCTCTGGCCACTGTGGAGGCATGAGGACACCTCTTCGAACTGCTGAGTTTGGGGCCCCACCTCACTCTGAAGGCCACTCTCTTTGGTAAGTTTTTTTTTTTTCATATTTATACACATAACACCAAGAAGGCAGCAGCTCTTGGGTGTCCAAGTCCTGCAGCATGAGATTCTCTAGCGATGACCAGCTGTTCCACTCAGTTTGAGGAAGGTTGGCCTTCCCAGGGCTGGAGAGCTTCGAGGTGCAAAGATCTTGACCCTTGAAGATGCTTCCTCTAATATCAAAAGTGCATGCCTAGTCCAAGCCTAGACATGGGGAATGAAACCCAGTTTCTGATTCCTGTGACCCAAATGGACACTAAATACCATGGATCTATGGGTCCTGCAATGTCTTCTGGGCTGTGCTGGGGCCACAGAATAGTGGGAGAGCCTGGTCATTGAGCAGTGTAGAGTCTTAGGGAGCTGCCACTCTAGGGTAGGGATGTGGAGGGGCTGATAGAAGGGACAGCATAGGAGGTAGCAGTGAGCTCAGGCTGAGTGTGTGTGTGTGTGTGTGTGTGTGTGTGTGTGTGTGTGTGTGTGTGTGTGTGTGTGTGTGTGTGTATGTGTACCTGAAAATATGGCAGTGTTTGTGGCAAGTGGGGATAGCAGATTGTGGGTCCTTGAAACTGTGTGAGAAAACAGCTTCTCTCCCTAGTCCAGGAGCCAAGGAAGGAGGTGACCATGGTGCTGAAGTGAAGTCACCCAGTAGTAATGGCACAGTTGCAGAGTGAGACAAGCTGGAACCTGAAGATGATAGTAGTGTGGGGCTGTGCACGGGGTTACAGGTCCTAATGACTTGCTTTTATATTAAAGAAGCAAGACCAGAGATTCTGCTTAAGGAGGAGCAGTGTAGCTAGAGTTTTCCTGCCTGGCCCACAGTCAGGACAAATCTCTCTCACCTGCCAGTCCCACAGCCGCTTAAACCCGACCAAGTAAACACAGAGACTTATATTGGTTACAAACTGTATGGCCGTGGCAGGCTTCTTGCTAACTGTTCTTACAGCTTAAATTAATCCATTTCCATTAATCTATACCTTGCCACATGACTCGTGGCTTACCGGCATCTTCACATGCTGTTTCTCATCATGGCGGCTGGCAGTGTCTCTCTCTCTCAGCCTTCCACTTCCCAGCTTTATTCTCCTCCTTGTCCCGCCTACACTTCCTGCCTAGCCAATGGCCAATCAGTGTTTTATTTATTGACTAATTAGCAACACATTTGCCATACAGAACATCCCACAGTAGAGCAGTCTAAGGGGGATGAGGAGGCCTGGGAAGGGGAGCTATAATGATGGACAACCCCGAGGGAGGCCCAAGCTTCCCTCATGTGGCAGAGAAATAAATGTAAGGGGTCCTGTCTTTCTTCTCCCACTGCCATATATGACCCTTTATCAGTGGCTCTGGAGGTATCTCTTTTATCCAGGCTGCGACCACGTAGTCACACTTCCTCCTGGGGAGGTACCTCTTATGCACTAACAGGGGTTAGGGTGGGTGAAAAGAACGGGGCTATGCAGAGGCCTGGAAGCAGTGTTGGGGTGGTAGACCCCGGTGGATAGTGGCATGTTGGCTGACCCAGGCAGTCAGAGCTGCACAGTGGAGATGGAAGTGGCTGTGGGTGGGGTGGAACTGAAGGGACACTGGACACACTGCAATTGCTGATCACGTGGGTGTGGGGGTGAGTAAGGAAGACTGGTAGGGAGCTGGGAGGACAGGGTCTCCAGTGGAAGTGGGGCTGACATTTGGGAGCAGTGTTGGGCATGAGCCATTCCAGCGGGACCAAGAGATTTCATCTTTCATCATCACAATATTTAGGATCCAGAGTTGGAGGCCATAAGAAGTATGTGGGGAGGTGTGGATCAGTGGTCTGGCCTTTGTGTAACCCTTGTCTGTTGCCTTTCCAGAAAGGGCTGCTTTGCGGTTGAGGAATTAAAGCAAGACTTTAGAAGGAACCCAAGATGAATACAGTTTGTGGTTGCTGTCTCCCAGATCCTGGTTGGTTCTGTTCTTTTCAGCATGAATGTCCCCTGAAGGTAGTCAAGGTGATCTGAGGTGGAGGCCTCTGTGGTGTGTAGGCGTCTGGGCTGTGGCTCTGCAGTGGGTGCACCCAGGTATGTACCCCTGCCTGGAGAGATGATCCAGCCCTGGCTGCACAATGTATCCTGTTGGGGTAATGAGTCCTCCCTCTGGGAGTGCAGCCTCGGGGCATTGAGTCAGAGTGCTTGCCCCCATGAGTGGATGGTGGTGGCTCTCTGTGCATGTAAGTGGTTCTGGGGGCTGGAGAAGCTGCTGAGAGGAAGGGAATGAGGAACAAGGAATGAGGAATGAGGCTTTCTGGCCTTGGTTCCAGATGGGAACACTCTGTTAGATTCTGCCATCTCTCCTCTCTGGATTCCTCTAATTCTTTCAACAAATGTTTAGATGACAAGCACTGTTCCAGGAGCTGATGACTTAGCCTTGATCAAACCTGACAAATCCTGCTGGGTGGAGCTTATGCTTCCAGGAGAGGCAGAGGGAACAAAAAGCAGAGTGAAGCCCATGGGTGGGTCCCACTGACCTTGCAGACGGCTCCAGGAGCTACAGTATGCATGTACTGAATGTTTCCAATCAAATGGTTGCCAGGCAAATGCTTTCCCTTGGAAGCTGACTTCTAGTGCTATCGGCTGCCTCTGTGAGCTCATTTGGGCCTCCCTAGGTGTCCTGTGGCTGAAGTAGGACCCCCTCCCCATATGATCTTGGGGTTAGTACCAAGCAAGGTTGTAGGCCTTGTTAAGACATGCTTCAGGGGCTTTAGAGATGGCTCAGCAGTTAAGAGCGAGTACTGCTTTTTCAGAGGACCTGCATTTGAATCTCAGCATCCATGCAGAGCAAGTAACAACTGCCTGTAAATCCATTTATTTATGTCCATATATATATATGTTTTTTTTGTTTTGAGAAAGGGTCTCACTAATAGTCCCTGCTGGTCTGGAGCTTTCTATGTAGCTCAGGCTAGTTTAGAACCATTTGATTCTTCTGCTTCCACTTTCCAAATCTGGGATCACTGGTGTGCAACACCATATCCAGCTCAAGTTCTACCTTTAACTTGGGAAAGTTAACGCATTACATTTAAGGTCATTATTAATAAATAAGCATATACACACTCCTGCTGTTTCTTTGATCTTTTATGGTTGTTAAGTCTGTTCCTTTTTCCTTCTTGCTTCTCTTTTTCATCTCTCTGCTCTGCTGGTTTTCTCTAACATTAGGTTGAAATCCCTTCCTCTTTTGTGTGTTGGCTGTGCTGTGATGTTTTGTCTTTTTGTGTGTGTTAGTCCCATTTCTCAACTTTTAGATCTGTTGTAAATTTCCTTGAGCCTTTCTTATAGGGCTGGTCTAGTGTTGATGAAGTCTTCAGTGTTTCTTTGTGTTGGAAAAAATATTTATTCTTTTCTGAAGGAACTCAGTGGGTCTGGTATTCTGAAGGAACTTAGTTGCTTATTTATTTTCCTCAGAACTTTGAATATACCTACTTTCTCCTGGTCTATGATTCAGAGCATAGGTCTGCTGGCAGCCCAGTTTATGACTTGACATTCTTGATGAATTTGATTTTTCTCCCAAGTGTGCATCTTTGACAGATCAACTCTAGTAAGTCTGAAGAGGATATTTTTGGGTTAAATTCTCAAGTATCTAGAGCTTGCATGAACTGGATGTCCTTACTTCTCTAAGGATTGGAGAAAAGGCAGCAGTTCTGCAGCTGTATATGTTTTTTATGTCTTTATCTTCTTGAATATCTATGAGTAAAAATTTCCTTGTGTCAGGGTTTCCTTTAAGCCTCAGCATTCTTTCTGTCTTATCTCTCTGGATAATTTTAATAGACTTATTTTCAAGTCTGAAAGTCATCAACTCTACCAACTCCACTGTTTAGATTCTCAATAATACTTTTAAAATTAAAAAATTATTCGACTATTTCCACAGTGTTTTAAAAAATTCAATTGGTTTTCAAATACTAAATGGTCAACCCTCAAAACATATATACAAGTAACATTATACAGACTGGGCATGTTGTACTTCTGTACTTAGGAACATATGCATATGTATACACATATATTCCTATGTATGTAACAATAATTAATGAAAAAAGAGGCCATGGATTTTAAAAAGAACAAGAAGCAGGTACATGGGAGGATATGGAGGGAGAAGGGGGAAGAGGGAAATGATGTAATTATATGATAATCTCAAAAATAAAAGAAATGCTTTTAAAAACAAACAAATTTGCTTTTATATGATCTTGATTTTTTTGCTGTTATGTGTATATCCTGAATTGCTTTCCTAATTTCCATTTTATATGCTTGTTTTCTGTAGATGAATTTCTAAACAGTCTTATTAAATAAGAAACACAGAGCCAAATACAGGGGTAATAGCTGAAGAGATCAGAGAATTAGCAAAGAGCCATGACTACCTTATCTTACTACCTTGCTGCCATCTCTTCCCCACAGAGAGAGCTTCTTCCTGTCTGATTTGTGTTTTTATTGCCTTTCTGTTCTGCTTTCTCATTGGCTCTAAGTCCAGCCACATGACTTCCTCATCACTGCCTGTCTATACAGACCTCCAGGTCTCTATGGTTGTTACTGGGATTAAAGGCTCGTGTCACCATGCTTGACTGTGTCCTTGACCACACCGAGACTCTGCCTGTCATGTGATCAGATTAAGGGCATGTGCTACCACTGCCTGACTTCTATTTATGGCTCACTGACCTCTGATCTCCAGGCAAACTTTATTTATTGACATACAAATAAAATCACATTTCAGCACAATTAAAATATCACCACAGCTTTCTCCTATGTCTCTGTATACTTCCTTTAGGTTATTCTCTCAGAATTCTTTCATTCATGTATATATTTTTGTTGTACTTGAAATTGAACCTATAGCCTTATGCTTGCTAGGTAAGTACTGCCTTACTTACCTCTATCCCCAGCCCCTTTTAAAATTTTTCTTTTTTTCCTTTTTTATTTTTGGAATTTTTGAGACAGAGGCTGTTCTTGAACTCAATCTGTAGCCCAGGCAGACCTTGAATTAGAACACCCCTGCCTTAGCTTCCTGAGTAGCCAGGATTACAGTCCTGTGCCACCAGGCCTGGATTAGTCTGTCAAATTCTTTTCAGGTAATTCACCATTTCCATTTTGGGTGTTGAGTTGCTAGAGACTTATTTTGGAAGATGAGCAGGGAGAAATAGTCCAAGATTACAAATTCAGAGCTCTGCAGGATGAATGAGTCCAGAGATCTAACATGAAGTATAGGACTGTAGTCAGTAACATTGCATTGAAAATATGGCTAGAGTAGAAGACACAGGTAGACACAACACAGTTAACAGTGTGGATGACAGCTATCTTAGTGAGCTTGTCTATAGAAAGCAAGCGTGTGCGTTTGCGTGTGCGTGTGCGTGTGCGTGTGCGTACGTGCGTGCGTGCGTGTGCGTGTGTGTGTGTGTGTGTGTGTGTGTGTGTGTATCAAAGCATCACACGGACTCTCCATACATGCAATGAAGAAGGAAGGTGATACTGAGAATATGGCTGACGAGGCACCCGAGCAAGGAAAGACCAGCAGTTGTCACTGGGGTGTTTGCTCAGAGCCTTAGAGAGCAGAGGGACTGAGAAGAGACATTCAAATCACCAAGGCCAATGATGTTCTTATGAAGAAGGGAAACAAGCACACAGGACTGACTGTCCTGTCTCTTGAGATTACCCACAGAGGGGGACTGTGCTCAACACCGCCTACACAGAGCATGAGGAAAATGATAGACCCTTATACTTGCTGGTGGCTGCACCACTCCCAGAGCTGACACAGAACCTACCCTGCTGAAGAGAGCTCCATCTCAGCTGGCAGGGCAGTGCACCGTGCCTGCAGTCTGAGCGGAGACATGACAGACATCAATAGTAACTGCAGCCAGGAAAGCAGAAAAGACTTTTCACCAAAGCATCTACCCAGAACCAAACCCAAGATAAAACATTCAACTGAGACATATTGTCAAGAGACACTTGTTTTGCAATGATATCCATCTATAAAATTTGTGGCAGCATGGCATGCATCTCCATCCCCTGACCATTATTCTATTTTGTTTCTATGTACTGGACTTAAAAAGTCACACATGTGAGAGAGATTATGTAGCACTCTTGTGCTTAGCTTATTTCAATTAACATCATGTCCTTTGGGTTCATCTGTGATGTTATGAATGGCAGGATTTCCTTTTTCTTTTATGTGTATGTGTATTGTGAGTGTGAGTGTCTGCATGCATGCATGTGCATCATGTATGCACCTTGGTGCCTGAGGAAGCCAGAACTGGAATTATGGGTGGTTGTGAGCCATGAGATGAATCCTGGGAACTGAACATTGGTTCAGTAGCAACATTTTTAACCTCTGGGCCATCTCTCCAGCCCCTAGTTTCCCTTTCAAAAGGCTAGGTAATATTCCTTTCTATCCCTGTCTCTGTTCCTGTTGTGCACATTTGTATTTGTACCCATACCTGAATCCACACAAAACATCCACATTCCTCCGTCACTGGACACACCTGTCATTTCCATGTTCTGACTACTGTCAATCATGTTATAATGAAGGGCATAGAACTCTCGACTCACAGACTTGATTTTCCTTGGTGCTGTGTAAGTCATATTCTTTATCAGTGTGATAAAATACTTATTGAAAGGAAGACAGGGTGATGTGTGTTCATGGCTTCAGAGATCTCAGTAAATGATTGGTTTCTGGGAAATGTTTAGGCAGAGAGAAAGTAAAGTCCACTCACCCCACAGTTGCCAAGAAGCAGACAGACAGGGACAAGGGCTCGTCCTTGTTATCTGCTTCCTCTATCTGGGTCCCACCTCTTAAGGTTTCTAGAGTCTCCCCCAATACTGCCACTATCTGGGAACAAAGCCTTTGATAATCCTGTTGGGGGTACTTAATATTCAAACCGTAAGAGAACCCAGGAGTGGGACAGCTGAACTGTATGGTCCTACTTTAAGACCTTTGAGTAACCTCTGTTCTACTTTCCATAGTTGCTGGGAACTAGAAAAATCCATGTGCAGGTGATGCCAGGGCCTGAGTTAAATGTCTTTGTGCATCTGTGACCTTCTTGGATTGGCCTGTTCCTTCTGAGAATGTCAAAGGAGCCTGAAGGAAGGTCTCCCTGTGCTTGTCCTACAGAATCTGTGGCCCTGAGACTGTGAGGTGGCACCCACAGCTGTGCTGGATGGCTGGACATGCTCTACAATGGGTCACGGGGTGCTGTGTGCAGCAACGTACTCAGAGAAATGTCCTTGAACAATCATCTGCAGACAGCTGGGGTATGGGGACCATGGTTGGCTGGAGAAAGGGCCTCTGCTGTGGCTGGCTTGGGAATCTCCTCGGTGGACAATATCAAGTGTTGAAAGCTACACAATTCTACCCTGTGGCAGTGCCCTTCTGCCCCATGGAAGCCACACTCCTGTACACAGGAGGAGGAGGTCTGGATTACCTGTGAAGGTGGGTGCTGATAGCCCAAGAGTGAGTCTCAGTAAAGGCTTCTACTGTTCTGACAAGCCACTAAAAGGAGCTGCCATTGAACTGCAGGGCTGGAGACTGTGTTCATCCACATTTCCATTTCAAGCATCACAGGGCATTTAACGCCAATGGCTGTGTTTATTTTGTAGGATTGCCACAGATAGCCCCACAGGACCCTGCACATACCCCCCAACTGTTCATCTCCACTTAGCTGTTTAGGTATGCATCCTGGCCCACCTGCCCATTCAAATGGGCAACAGTGACCCCTGCCTCCTTTCCAGAGGACAGTGTACTTGGGGGTGAGGATGACTGTTCCGGGCATGTAGAGCTCTGGCATGCAGGCTCCTGGGGCATGGTGTATGACAACTCCTGGGACCTGTGGATGCTGAGGTTGTGTGCCGGCAGCTGGACTGTGACCAGGCCTTTGTTGCTCTGGGAGGGGCCACGTTTGGTCCTGGCTTGGAGCCTATGTGGCTGGATGAGGTGGAGTGCCTTGGCAGTGAGGTGACCCTGGAGGCCTGTCAGGCTGAGCTTTGGGGACATGGAGACTGCACACACAAAGAAGATGCAGGTGTTCATTGTGTGGGTGAGTTGGCAACAGATAGTAGCAGGGACAGGGATGCTAGATTGATTTCTTTAGCTGTCCTTTATGCTCAGATTCATCACTAGGCACTGGGCCCTGAGATGTAGGGTTCCATTGGGAGCTCCCTGCAATCTTATGTGACTCTTGTTAAGCTGGTAGCTGGTAGAGGCTACCTGCTGGGTATGGGCACATCTGTTCGAGGCTTCCCCATCTCATATTTCTCTTACAGGTGTCCCCACAACCACTGGATTGTGTAAGTATCTCTCACACAGCTTTTTCCCTCCCATCACCCACAGGGCTTACAGTAGAGCTCAGTTCTGACTGGCCCGCTTTGGAAACCCATGCTACAGCCATGCCACCAGTATCAGATTAGGCTATATCATCATCATTCTGTGATGGAAACTTCTGCCCTCCCCTGTGCCTGTTGGATGGCATATGGGCTTGAGTGCAGCATGGTGGATTCCTGCTGCTGTACAGAGGTGTCTGTAAGCCACACAGCATGGTGTGTGATGAATATAGCTTTTGCTAGTACAGACAAAAAAAAAAAGGTTGCTGGGCTACATGCTTGTTGATAGAGGCATAAACCCACTGCTTCTGAGAGTTGGTGGTACACATGGTTCTCCCAGAGCTGATGGTAATGTAGTTCTGCCATGTTGGGAAGCTGAGATGGGTGGAGCCAGCAGCCAAAGCTGCCATTTCAGTTCTAGTTATACTGCAGTTTAAAGCAATAGATTCACAATACAGATTTGGATAAAATAAATCCTAAACAGTTTACAATGTGTGTAAAAATCTACATAGGCTTGGAAGACAGAGAAAAATGAATGTAAGACAGTTATATAAAAAAATAGTTTTAAAAAATAAAGTCTTTTAAAGAGACAGTAAAAGTAATATAAAAAATAAGCCACATAAAGACAGAAATCACACAGAGTCTGGATTATATTATCTTTGGGATTTTTAACTGCAGAGAGACATTTAACTGTAAAAGCTGCTGAGACATGTAGATGCTTCAGGCAGGCTGGACCATGAGGACCCAGGCTACCCTGTGGGTGTCTTTTGCCCTCCTGA